GGAATAACTTAACTGGCAACCTTAACAGAATAACAGATATGCTCACTGTTACTAATTAACTGTTCCAACTTAGCAACATCCCATAAACACACCCAAATTCAGAAAATGGATTATCTCACATGCAACTCCAGTGGCAGAAAGAGATCCCCCAGTTGTTGGCTGTAACAGACAGAAGAGAACAAGATCTCTTCCACTTCTTCAAAGCCCCAGCTACATCTGCTGAAAACTAAAACTAAAGATCCTGATTCTGAGAGCGCTTTACCACACCCATTCGGGCTGCTTCTACTATTCCAACTTTTTAAAAAAAACCCAAAGCCTCACTAGCTGTTTACTATAGTGGCTCTAGTAGATGGCTCATCACCTCTGCCTTAAAACCTCTCTTCGAAAAAAGGACAAAATACAGACTTAAAGCCACAGTATCATCATACACCATCGCTATGGTCAAAATGCACCAAACCAACCAAATCTAACAGATATGGTAGGTCGCACCTATTAAAAAGCTGTACAACTTCTATTGAAATCTATAAAGCATGTGGCGTCAAGGGACAATAGACACACATCCAGGAAATCTCATTCCCGAGGCTGAGCCGAACTACAGGACAAAACACATGCCCCGTAAAATAGCACAATATCACAACGAGGATAGCGTTAAAATGGCACATGAATACAAACACCTTGAGTTGAGAGTCAGCCAAGTGAAAGGTAGGTTGATGACCAAGCCTCCTATATTTCTAATTTCACATACCATGTTGATATTATAAGGTGATTGGAAGCTTTTTGAATTATTCCTGTTGTATGCCCTAAAATGGTAGGGTGACGCAAATAAAAGCTAAAATCGACATACAGCTTGTGCCATTGTATTACCACTAGACGTCCTGGGACACATGTACCTCACCAAATGGCATTCCTCAGAACAATCCGATAAACCCATCTCACAGTTTGTAACAGGTCACCAATTCCATACGTTGGTAGAATTGCATTGCTGTCAATACACAAGCTCAACTTGGCATTCCAAAATTGTATGTTTGGTAACTACCAAGAGACCAGCCTTGGTAAGTTAAAAGTATTATCAAGTCTCGAACCATCACAATTCATGAGATTCAAACCACACCAACTTGTGGAAGGTGACAAAATTTGAGTCAAGGATATGACTTTGAGGGCGATACAAGCCAGGTAGCAGGATGATTATGTCTGACATACTGAGGTATATTATTTAAACAGCACAGAAACCAAGATATATCTCTTGATCTACAAGTTGATGCTCTAGACGATAAAGATGAAGATGTTCTCTAGCTTAATCAGTCACACTTTGGCCAGAACAGTGTGAACAGTTACAATTGGTAACTGCTGAAGAGTTGCAAAAGATTATTATCCAGATGACCTGACAGTGTTCAAGAAGTTCCTGTGTAGGTTCATTCATTTTTGTAAAGAACAGGGCACTAGGTATGTTGTCAATAATCATTTACAAAGAATAACAAGTCCTCATAAGAAAAGCATTATGCCAAGATCTCGGGTCCATGTTTGCACCTTGGGATATATGTAATAAATGCTAGCATACGAATCTGTGTGCCGGCCAGAATGAATTGGGATATTCAGTTACCTGGGAATGCATGTGAAACATGTCGTGCATGTCAACCCTTGGAAGAAAGTAGGAACAAACTGATTCACAGTCCATGGAGAAGATTACATCCCTGTGACAAATTACTTTTGTCAATTTCCCATTGTTCAACAACTTTAGCAACACAATGTGTATGGTCTTTACTGGCACACTATTTTTAGGTTTTTGTTTAAATAGGAATATCTCAATGGACTGTAATATAAACATAAACCTTTTCCTGGCGTGTGGACTGAGCGTGTAGTGACCTATATTACATTCTGACCCCACTATCCATGCTCAAAATGTCTAGAAGAATGTATGGTATGTATTGTCAAATCAGTGATCATCATGGTTTGTGCAATAAAGCAAGATTTTCGTGTTGCATTGCTGTATTTCCATACAAGGCCGTTAAAGAAGGAATTACCATTCCCAGCATAACACAAGGCAAGTGCAAATGACTTTGCCCAGCAACCAATTGTCTAACTATTCCAAGACACAGGACATTGTTTCTCAAAGGCGGAAGAGAAGGCAAAGCTACATGATGGGTGAGCAGTGAGCGAAGTCCAGTAAATGCACATTGAAAAGAGAGAACGAGAGCTCAAAATAGGAATACTTGGATTCCAGCAAAAATCTCTCTAATGCTCAACCAGCCTCGCTCATGAAACATTTTGATTGATCATGGTACCACATTGTAGAGGAACAGAAAGCAGCTCAGCTCAATGTTCAACACATCAAACATGCAAAAATGCACACGCTGATGATGTTGAGTGACAGCAAGTTGGCAAACAAGTGCAACAGAATACAGCTATGTCTCCAGATGACTAAATGATCAGCAGATCAGGAGGAGTTCTTGTCAAACCTCTGCAGCATTATATTTGAAGTTTGCAACTTCAGTCTTTGAAACTCTGTTTTAGCTGTGTGTATGACCTGTCTATATACAGCCATGAATATCTCTTTGGGCTAAGCTTTTATCTTTGAAAAAGGAGGGATGTTGTGTAATATCTAAGAGCCAATATGTAAGTGTGCCTTTAAGAAAGACAATAAGTCAGGTATGTTTTTAGGACATGACATCATCATGATCACAGCCTGTGACTTGAGGCTATAAAGATCTCATAATCCATTGTAAACTGGGGTCAATTTGCAGCTTTTGGAAGCATGCTTCTGTGCATAATTTACTTTCTCAGCTTTAGCCCAGGCATATGCTCCTGTGGAATATATAGTTTGTATATAATGATTACCGTTAATGTCTGCTTGATTCTTCAATATCCTGATATCCCCCTCTCTGGTTTCTTATTTTATAGGAGATCATGTAATCACTGCTGCACCAGTTAAAATATCCAGCTGGAGGCAAAATGACATCTTAAAATGCCCATTCCCTTTGGCTCTGACCACCTCCTCCGTCATTCAATTTCTCCTGTCTTTGCTACTATCTCACAGACTCCTTTCATCCTTATCTAACACACCCTTTGCTCAAAACCAATTCCATCTTGAACATTTCCTACTAGGAGATAATAAGGACCGCAGATTCTGGAAGCTAGAGTCAAAAAATGTGTAGCTGGAAAAGCACATCAAGTCAGACAGTATCCGAGCAGCAGGGAAGTCAACGTTTCAGATCAGAGCTCTTCACCAGGACTGGAAAGGGGGAGGTATTTTTCTTCTTCAGGACTGGGCTTCCCTCCCCTTCCCGAGTCCTGAGGGGAAAAAAAATCTCTCCTCCCCTGCAGCTGCCCCATCTTCCCACTCACCTATCCGCTCTCCCTCTCACTGACCAACCACAATAACCCCCTACCTGCATCACCCAGCTTCAAAATCTCTCCAGCCCCAACCTGTCCGCTCCATCTTTCCCACTGACCAACCACAAATAACCCCCTACCTATATGCACCGATCTCCATCTCACCCATCCTCCCCCCAACCCCAACTCCCTCCCTCTATTTATTTCTGGGTTTCCCTCATCCTTTCCAGTCCTGAAGAAGGGTTCCAACCTGAAACGTTGACTTTCCTGCTTCTTGGATGTTGTCTGACTTGCTGTGCTTTTCCAACTTTACATGTTTTTGACTCAGAACTTTTTCCTAGTTCTGATGAAATGTCACACTGTTTCTCTCTCCACAGATGCTACTTTGATGTGCTGTACTTAGAGTCATAGAGTCATACAGCACAGAAACAGACCCTTTGGTCCAACCAGTCCATGCCAACCGTAATCCCAAACTAAACTCGTCCCGCCTGCGTGTGCTTGGCCCATATCCCTCCAAACCTTTCTTATTCATGTACTTACCTAAATGTCTTTTAAACATGGTATATGTACTAGCATTCACCACTTCCTCTGTACGTTTCATTTCACGCACGAACCACCCTCTGTGTAAAAAGAAAATTGCCTTTCATGTCTTTTTGAAATCTTTCTCCTCTTACCTTAAAAATATTCCCCCTAGTCTAGAAATCAATATCCTAGGGAAAAGACACCTGTCATTCACCTTTATCTGTAACCCTCATGATTTTATAAGCCTCTACCAGATCACCCTTCAACTTCCTACACTCCTCCAGTGAAAAATGTCCCAGCTTATCCAGCCTCTCCTTATAACTCAAACTCTCCCTTCCCAGCAACATCCTGGTAAATGTTTTCTGAACCCTCTCCAACTGAATAGCATCATTCCCATAACCGGTTGACCAGACTAGATACTAGAAGAGGCCTCCCCAACGTTCTGTCCAACCTCAACATGGTGGCCCGACTCCTGTACTCTGACCAATGAAGTCAAGCATGCCAAATGCCTTCTTCACCACCCTGTAAACCTGCAACTCCACTTTCAAGGAACTATGAATTTGCACCCGAGGCCTCTTTGTTGGGCAACACTCCCCCAGGGCCCTACCATTAATTTTGTGAGTCCTGCTCTGGTTTTTCTTCTCCAGTTTTCTTCAATTTGCCCCCATGGCCGTGTCTTGCTGACTTTGCTCAGAGCAGTTTGGACATCTTCTTCTCCCTTCTGTGCCTTCATTAACACCCATTTGACATCTCAATTGCTCCTTCACCACCGTTAGCAACCTCTGCCTTTGCCTTTGGTTCTGAGCACTGTCACCATCTGTTTCCCTCATTTTTTCTCCCCCTCTGTCTTTCACATAAAAAACCCAGAATTTCCAGCACCTTACAGTTGTAAACTAGATTTAGATCAGACTCTCGACATATACTTTCTGTCTCTCCGCCCAAGTTTCCTGATTTGCTAACTTCCTCCAGCACATTTCTGCATGTCCTGTTTTTGTTTCCCATTTCCAGTATGCACAGTTGCTTGCATTCTGCCTGAGAAAAGTGACTTTTGCTTGACAACATTCATTCTGCAACACAGTTTACGATCTTTTCAAGCAATGATCATTGTGTAACGTCAATCATAATGTGTAATCCTTTTATTGTTTCAGCCCTGTGCGCAGCAACGGATTCCCAGGGTGCTGAAGGGACTGATTTCCAGCATTCCTACACTTTGAGATTGGAAAATGCCAGGAGGGAAGACACACCGAGCATGCAGAAGCACTTCAGTCCTTCTCCTCCTAATGCACCTTGGTACAGCGTTGGATGTGCCCCTTGATTGTGAGTCAAAATCCAATTCATCATTGATTATTCTCAATGTCTTATTGAAATTCTGTAACGGAAATAATAGTGGAACTGTGACCCTTGTGGATTAGTGGCTCAGTGCATCTCTTCAGGATAATACAATCACACGTAATAGAAAGATGAGAGGTCAGCTTTTGGTGAACATGTTCTGGTGTCTGAACAATACCTACCTTTTAATAATGTGGAAGTCAGTCAACAATTTGCATTGAGAAGCGTCACAATGACTAGCTGATTTGTTATTCTGCACCATTAGCTTCACAAAAGCACAGTGATTTACATGATGCAATTATAATTGCACCTTCATTTCCCATTTGAGCTCACCACAACTAGTTAAGTTGGTAATTAAAATGGTCAGTACCCTTTTTCACAATGTTAATTTTTAATTACGGCTCATCAACATCCCTTGGCCATAAGTGCAGAGTTTCATTCCTACAGGATTTGCATTATTTAAAGAGATATTAGAAAAATCAACTTCCTTCAGAGCATGTGCTGCTATCCAACAGCATGTCAGCAATTTCTCCCTAGCTTATGTCCAGATGATACCTCTACAAATTAAGTAACAGTCTTTGCAGATGCTTTGGAGCAGATAGAAGTGCTTTGAGGAGCAAGGATTGAACTGGTTTGTGGTTGGACCGGAGTGTCACTTTCCTTCTCCCAAACAAGAATTGATGAAATTGTTTTGTAGCAAAAACAATAGCGAGACATTTTCCTTTCTCTACTTGAGAGTAGTGTCATTCACTTTGTGTTTGTGCCCTGGATGCAAATAGAGTTGGTTGTCCTTGCTTCTTAAGATATTCTCCAAAATCTGTCTTGTTGGCATCACAGTACTGGTGTTGTCACTCGTCACTTCACTCTGGTGCTTAACCTGTGCATCAGCGGCACTGCACAGTAGTGAGCTGGCATAGAGGTTCACACTCTTACAACAACTAAAGCAAAACACTTCTTGAATCCAATGAATCATTGCATTGCTTTCGCATGTGTTGTTCATTGCATCTCTACTATATCTTTCACCTCAGGATCCAGGCAGAGCTTACATCAGTACATGACCTATGCACTTGACTTCACGCATCTTCAATTGCATTTCCCCCATCTTCAGCTTCAGATTCATCTGGCAAGCTCGCTCTAGCAGTCACACTGGATTCTGATCACAGTCTGTGATGGAATCTGCCATTGTGACTCCACATCATAGATGAGCAGATTATCCGCAACAGCTTCCACTGCAGGAGGATCACTGACTATTTCATGCTGTCTGTACTGATTCTCTTCCAGAGAAAATGCTAAGTGGCATGCAACCATCTGTATCTCCTAAATGGTGTGCAGGATATGGTTGGAAAACTACTGCTTACATGCAGCTTCACATTTCGGGAACCTACCTTCCCACTGAGCATCTTTTGTCTTTGCAAGTTGTGGTAAAATTTCTGCAATGGTTGCCATCAAGTGGTGAGAACTCTTCAACATTTTATGGACATCCTTTAAATCCACGCATACTCTCAGCTTCCCAGTAATTTTCTCTAATACTTTGCTGCTAATTCAGTCTGGGGGAGTTATCACTTTACTGGTCCCCATTCACTTTTCCGGCTCTTGTCTTTCAGGCCGGAGTTGAGGACAGTTGGAATTCTTCTCAGCAGATGCTGAGTTGGTCTCTCACTCTCATCTATGTCAACATGATTGTCTCAAAGACATCCAATTACTGTCAAAACACCTTTTGTAATCTTCAAGGATCTGTTTGGCAGCCAAAGGCTTAGTCACTTACAATATGCTACAAATCTCTTGGGATATTTTTACAGTTACTAGCCCAAGCTTTAGACTTGCTTCAGCTGTGATGAGTAGATTTTGCTTTACATCAGTTATTTGGAACTCCAGACATTTGTTATTTCCATTAAGGTAGACCCTGTGCTCCGTTTTATCCTCGTGGCATGTGCATCATTTCATTACACTGTCTCAACCTTCCTTTTTCAGGGCATTCTTTTTGGATCTCCATCTTGCATTTTTGTGCACAGGTCTGAAAATCTCATGATGTTTAATACAGCGCCAGTGACTGACACTTTGCATTCACTTGATGCTCTCCTTCTGGAGTTGTCATTCTAACAACCGTAAATCTTTAGATCTGACAGTGTCACCCTACCATATGGAATTGAGGAATTCATCCACTGATATATCTCCAGCAGCTCGCTTTGTAGTTGGCTTTGTTTCTTTCCAGCTCAACACTTGGGTGCAGAGAAATTGATCTTTTCATAGTTAGTCACCCCTTCCTTCCAAGATATTGTTCCTCTTAAAATCATGAGGGCTGTGGGTGGAGGTAATGGTAGTTGTCTTTTCTCAGGATAGGGGATTTCAAGACTAGGGGACGCATTAAGGCGAGAGGTGAGAGTAATGAGGGGCAATTTTTTTTTTATGCAGAGGGTGGTTCGCATGTAGAATGAACTTCCTGAGGAAGTGGTGGATGTAGGTACAATTGCAACATTTAATAGACATTTGGATAAGTACATGAATAGGAAAGGTTTGGAGGGATATGGGCCAGGAGCAGGCATGTGGGATGACTTTAGTTTGGGATTATGTTTGGCATAGACCGGTTGGACTGAAGGCTCTACTTCCATGCTTTATACCTCTACGACTATCACTCTAAGAGATGTCCTCAACAATATTTATACACTCTCTTATCTGATCTTTTGATCCTGCCACTTGCTTTTCTGCAAATTTTTCTTCCTTTTCATCAAACTGTTGTTTTTATTCAGTTTGGAGTGTGTCTCCACATAATGCAAAGAGCAATGTTGTTCTACCGCTCATACTGTAGATCATGATTGACAGTCTTAGATCTTCTGCACATATCAATAACTTTTCTTGAGAGTATATTTCTCCTCCCTCAGCAAACATGATCTCATGACAGGATCTGTTATACTAAGACAGTCCTACTGCTGATGAGATCCATTTTTTTGTTGGCCAAACTCTCCAGATTCAGCTAAATGTATCAGAGTGTACTGAGCATACCAGACACAGACATATTGATATAGAGAGTGTATCAGACATGATGAATATTCTCGTGCCTTTTTGAGCCCTGATATTGAACACAACATTAAAATGGGGTCTCAAGCATGGTCTTCAAAGCCTGCAAAATCTCCCATTGTCTGGCTTTTTTATTCCTCACTGAGATCTAGATTGCTTGTGGTATTCCTTCCTGAGCACTGATAGGGTTGAAACCCTTAGATGCTCAGTTTTTATTTGAATTAATCCTGTTGCTGTTTCATTGTTTTGTTACTGACAGTGGGGAGAAAAAAATCCAATTCTACCTCAGATTGCGTTTTGCTTCCACACGAACAGAGAATGGAAACTGCAGAGCTACCAGTAATTCTGTGTTGCAGCCTCAGTTGTGTTTTTTTTCAACTTCCTTGTTTTTTTTCAGCAGCTGGCTCTTTTATACCTCTGGGAACTCGCTTGTTTCCAGCTGCATCAATCTGACCCCAAGTTTCACATGTAGTGTCTACAATGGCTACCACATGCTGCACGCAAAGGTAGAGTTAGAACTCCCATGACTATGGTAAAGGCCCAGTGCATAAGGGTACAATGCCTTGCTCAAAACAGGTATCAAGACGCATCATTTGTCCTTTAGCAAATCAAGGTGGCAGATGTTAACTTTTTTTGCCACATTGTTAGCAGCTTGCAATTGCACTCTTTGGATGTCTAAGCCTGACTGTACAGTTTGAAAACGTATGCAGCAACACGAGCTGTGAGATGCCCTGCTCCCTCATGTTTGCGCTGTTGCTTTATGCTGAATTCGTAAATCTTAGAAGCTGGCCCCCGACTAGGGAGAGGAAAAGCTTGCAATATTTCCACTCCTGATCACTATACTTGGGCCCTTGTTGGCTAAGTACACACCTCTCTTTAACACTGGCTTTGTTATTGACTGAGGTGCCATAGCCAGCGTTGGGTCCGTCTAGAACGAACACTGGATTTTCAGAGCCAGATCTGGAACCTGACACCCACTTGATTCCGCTTCTGACCCCACGTGCGTTTTGTAACTTCAAGTGGTCACATTGAGCCGGAGGTGATCTTGATGCAGGAGACAGGGACTGTCTGCTGGATGCCAACAGCAAAGTGAGGCACTAGCCACGTTGGAGATCGACACTGCCTTTGCAAAGAAGTGGGATTGCTCTTTCGAGGGCCAACAGCATTTGTTTGGCTGAGGAGAGGAAAAAGACAGACTAGGGTCATGCATTAGTCCCTGAAAAAAGACCAAATAAATTACATAGGTAAATGATCTTTAAGTGCCTTCTTCCTCCCTGCCAAATCCAATAGCACCAGACAGCTTGGATTTACCGAAATAAACTTTAAAAATTCAATTTTGGATTAGAAAGCAACCTTAATACAAAGCTTGTGAGGCAGTTAATTGGAGGGGACTGTTTCCCCTACTCCTCCTGCCACAGTCCCTTCAAAAATTACTCATTCTTCCCAGAGGTGTCTGGATTTTGAGCTGACCTCCCGATGCGCAGTTTACTATTCACATCCGCACTGGACCCTGACTTCACAGCCCTTTGAAAATCCAGCCCTCCTTTGAATGGATACAAGAGTCTGCTTTTAGCAGGAGAGAAAGCAAAGGGAGAATTAGATGGTAGAGGGAGAAATTGCTTTTCAACTGTCAAAAGTTGATTTCTGCTGTTCAGAAAACCTCTCAAACAATTGTGTACCACAATTAAAATCTATTGCACTTCATCAGCTTCAGGAAAGCAGATAAGGACCAACTGTTACCCATTTGAGGATCTCCTGAGTGCTTTTCGATCATAGTGTAACAATGATTGTTTTAGAAGGGTGCTTTTCCCTAAAAAATTTCTGCTCATCAGAGTGAAGGGTGTTCACGTTGGAGGATGAGTTACTTTTTATCACATTCACCCTTGTTGACATGCAGTATAACATATGCAGTAGTTGCATTAATGTCCAAATGCTTTGCTTGGAAATCATAAGAGTTCAGCCCAACTTGTCCATGCCAATCAGATATCCGAAATTAATCTAGTCCCATTTGGCCCGTATCCCTCTAAACCCTTCCTATCCATATACCCATCCAAATGCCTTTTAAATATTGTAATTGTACCGGTACCCACCACTTCCTCTGGCAGTTCATTCCATACACGCACCACTCTCTGTGTGAAAAGGTTGCCCCTCGGGTCCCTTTCAAATCCTTTCCCCTTTCACCTTAAAATTGTGTCCTTGGTTTTAAGCTCCCCTTCCATGGGGAAAAGACCTTGGCTCTTCACCTTATCCATGCCCTTCATGTTTTTATAAACCTTTTACAAGGTCACCCCTCAGCCTCCAGCGCTACAAGGGAAAATAGCCCTAGCCTATTCAGTCTCTCCCTGTAGCTCAAACCCTCCAACTCCGGCAACATCCTCCATAAGTCTCTTCTGAACCCTTTGAAGTTTGACAACACCTTTTGTCTAGCAGTGAGACCAGAATTGAACACAGTATTCTAAATTTGGCCTCCTCGAAGTCCTGTACTGCCACAACATGACATCCCAACTCTTATACTAAGTGCACTGACCTGATTTGCCTTTCCAAAATACAACACCTCACATTTATCTAAATGTAACTCCATCTACCACTCTTTGGCCCATTTGGCCTGGTCTGATCTCTGAGAACACTGTTCACCACACAAACAATTTTGGTGTCATCTGCAAATTTGCTAACCATATTTCTTATATTCACATCCAAATCATTTTATATAAATGACAAAAAGCAGTGGAACATAGAGCAGCCAGTAGCTGAGCAGTGAAGGATGCAGTGATGCCTTACCGAGAAAGGAGGCTCTTAAAGGTTGACAGAGTGGTTGGAAGGTGAAGACATCTAGACTGCAGAGGGGAGAAATGGCAGGTCAGAGAGAAGGAAGTGCCATTGTAGACCAGGGTTGAATGAGCTGGACAAGATTCAAGAGGCAATGTAGAATGGACAAGGCTGTGGAAACTCGGAGAGCACAATGGAATAAGGTATTTCATAATTAAGGTTGCAGATGAAAGTTTCTTCCACTTCTCTGTTCCATCAGTGTGCCTCCAATGTTAAACTGACATCCCTCATGTAATGGTGCCAGTGTAACATCTTTCTATCACTCTGTAGAATCATCCCATGATCTTCCAGACTGAGATTAATTATTTGATACTAAGATTATATGGTATTGAAACTGAAGTTCAAATTTGAATGTTTGCTGTTAAAATTCTATATATATTGCAAGACACTACCAGCACTAAGGTGAGATAGTAGGAACTGCAGATGCTGGAGA